ATAAGAAGAGGGATGTTTGAATGCAATGTACAGGTTGATCTACCTTATCAGTCAGAATAATTTTTCCCTTTTCATCCTTAACCTGAAAACTGGGAAAGCCAAACCAGAACATCAAACCAAGCAAGCAGAAATCATATACTGCCGTAACTGCTCAGGGCTGGGGTCCATAAGACCTCTTCATGGGCAGGGAGCAGGACTAGCTTGCTGTTATTTTTCTTCTATACCCTTAATTTGTATCCATAATAGAGGGGTGGAAGGTAATAGCTGGACCCTTAGTCATAAAGGAGCAAGAATAGTCAAGGATACCCAGGAAAATTCCTTGGCAGAACACCAGCTTCCTGCAGGAAGCCATTGCCTGCAGCTTTCCAGAGAGGTCTAACTCATGCAGATACAGAGAGAATCAGCCTGGGGTAGGTAGGGCTGTGGGCTGCAGGGCCAGCAGGAGCACAAGAAGGGCTAATAGGATTCTGCAAGGTTAAAGAGTAAAGTGGTTAAAACAGCAGATGATCCTAGTAATGTAAAAGCTGAGTAAATATATACATTATTTGAAGGGAATAAGCAGTATGGCATTTATCCTGGCCATATGGAAACAAATATAACTTGTTTTTTACCATAAAGGCCAGTGTGGATTTTTTAATTATTTAAAAATCCTTCTTCTATTCCTAGTATTCCTAAAGACTTTCAGGGTCTATCTCTCCAGTTGCAGATATTTAATATAAGATTGCAGGAAGCAATTTCAGTCTTATTGGCAAACAGCCCTAACAATTTTTCCCGTGAAATGGCTGCTTAGAGTAATTTATTGGATCAGATGAAGATCTCTGACCGTGATTTGCCTCTGCTGGTGGCACTTTTTCCACTTGGGTCCCTGCTGTCAACTGGAATCACAGACTGCAACACAACTCATGCCGGGGCGCCTTAAGTTTGTCAGCCTGGTCTGTCTCTGGCCGTTTCCATCTGGATGCCGAGCCGGGACGGCGCAGCCCGCGGGCCGCGGTAGCGGGACGCTGCCCCAGCGCCCGGGGGCTCCCGAGCCCGGCGCGGGGCGTTCCTTTTCGCCTCCAGCGCGTCCTGCCAGCTCCCGTCCCGCCGGCGGGCCCGTCCCGGAGCGGGGCGCGGCGCGGGGCGGGCGCTGCCGGCCGGGGCTGCCCGGAGCGCGGCGGGGGCGGCGCGGGGGCTGCCCGGCGGGGCGGGCGGTCCCGTCCCCGCTCCCCGCGGCCGGGCTGCGCCGTGTGGCAGCGCCTCTGTCAATCAGCCTGACTTCACTCCGCACGCCCTGTGCTTCCAGTACTATACCCCCGCCGCCTCCTGGTGTCTCTGCTTCGCTGCGAGCCGGGAGCGCGGCCGCCACTGCCGCTGCGGCTGCGGCTGGGCGAATGCGCGGGCGGCGGGGCGCGGGGCAGCGCTGAGCGGCGCGGAGCGGCGCGGAGCGGGGCTGCCGCCTGGCCCGCCCCGGCTGCGGGCAGCCCGGGCGCCGGCCCCCGCCTCGGGCCGGGGCCGCCGCGATGGACCCTCCCGCGGGCATCGCCTGCGTCCTGCTCTGCTGCGCGCTCGCCCTGCCCGCCGGCGCCCTGCGGCGCCCCGGGGACAGAGGTAGGTCTCCGCCGGGACGCCTCCGGGGCTGCTCGCCCTGCCCCGCCGCCGCCGGCCGGTGGCCGCAGCCCGCCCGTCCCAAGTAGCGGCTCGCCGCCCCGCGGCTTTCGCTCCCCTTGAACTTCTTCTGCGGCTACTTTTGCCGGGTTGCCAGTTGTTTCCTGCAAGCGGCAGGCGGGGACGGGGCAGCCGCGCCGCCGGCGGGGAAGGGACGCGGAGCGCCGGGCAGTGACAGCGCGGCGCCGCTGCCCGCAGCCCCGCGCCGCCCGCCGCCTGCCCCGCGGAGCGGGCGAGCCCCGGCGGGCAGGGAGCGGCGCCTGGGGTTCCCGTGCGGGCTGAAACACATGGCAGCTCGTCTGCCTCCTCCTCCTCCTCTTCCTCGCATCCGTCCGAAACTCCCGGGCTCCCCACTGAGACCGCTCCCGACCCCTGCCCGCGGCTTCCCCGTCAGCGCTCGACTCAAACCCGCCGCACCGGGGGTAGTTTGAGGGACGTGCCTTTGCCTTGCAGGCTTGCCACCTGCAAATCCAGCCCCTACCCCTGCCCCTGCGAGCAGTCCCGAAGTGAATCAATGCCCTGTCTTCAACGCTGGCCGCCCGGGAGCCCCCCCAAGTCCCCGAGGGGACCCGGTCACTGACTGGGCGTGCAGGGTGCGGGGTCCGGGCTGGTGGCGAAGGGGAGCGGGACCGCGCTGCAGGGACAGGAGTGCGGGGTCCTGGCAGGGTGGGGAGGCTCACGCTGCCGTCTGGTATTTTGGGGAAGAAAAGGCAAGTTTGAGCGAACTCTGCACACTTCATGCAGGTGAACCAAGTGCCTGCAAAGAGTGCAGTGTCCATCTGCCTTATGTAAGTGTCTGCTGTACTAATGAATAATGGAATAAAAATCCCGCGGCATCAGGATATGTTTAGTTCTAGTATCTCTGTCCTCTCTTGCTTTCTCCCTGTAAAGATTCAATTCTGAGGAATATAGAGGAGTACAGCCTTGTCATCCCCACGAGCACCGATTCAGAGGGCAGGTTCCTGTCCCACTTGGTGTCTGGACCACCAAAAGCACGCTTCAGGAGAGCTGTGGAGGACTTGCAACATGAAGCAGCAAATGAGGAGATCTTTTACAATGTCACTGTGTTTGGAAGAGAGTTTCACTTCAGGTTGCGGCCAAACTCCAGGCTCGTGGCCCCTGGAGCAACAGTTGAGTGGCAGGAGGACTCTGAGGAGACTCATATCGAACCTCTCTATGGGAATTGCCTCTATGTTGGGGATATCACTGATCTGCCAAATGCTTCAGTTGCTATCAGCAATTGCGATGGACTGGTAAGTTACTTTTGTTATTATATCAAAGATAATTATATTAATTTCCTACAGTCTTTAAATATAAAATGTGTGGACTGTCAGAAACTCACACCTCATATGGTAACTGTGAATGCAAATTAACTAATGTTCCCTTGTGTGGGAATAGCTGTGCTGCACCAAGCGCTGATTTACAGACAGTGGCACTAGAAGTTTGAGCACATGCTCTGAGGTAGCTACTCTGGAACAGAGCAGCTGAAAAGAGTGTTTATGTTCATTTGTGGTAAAGTTACTTGAGGGGGTCTGATGCTCTAAACCAGAAGGTTAAGTGTCAAGTTCTCAGCATGCTCTTCCACTTCTCACTCACAGCCTGCAAAGGTAAATGTTAGAAAGAGTTAATCCCAAATAATGGGCTGGACTACCTTGGAAACAAATTTGATAGGTAAAATATGGTTTTGTCCTGGAAAATTTTAATTTATTCAGAGTCTGTTTTCTTGGATATTTCACTTGGTGAGTTTCATTGCCTAATCAAGTGATTGATGAAAAGTTGCAGAAGACTTTGAGTTTTATGAGCAAAACAGCCCCCTGTGATACATTTGTCAAAGCTGTGTTTTAAAACTGGCTGCAGCTTTCTGTTCTGGAGTGCATGTTCAGCACTCAGATTATCACTGTTTGTCCCTGACATCCTAAACTGTCACACTGTCATTTGAACAGTAATTACTGCACAGCAATTTGTTTAGTGAGAAAGGGGCTATATTTTTTTTTATAATGTCCAGTTTATCCAGCCCTTATTTTCTTGCTATAGCCGTCAGAGTTTGTAATTTTGAGATTGCTTAATTGTAATGCATTCTGCTTCTGCATAAAGAACCAGTGAGAGTCAGTTGTATTTCTATTTATTTAGTCATAGGAAGTTGTTCATTTGCTGTGCCAAGAAGATGACATGTATGGAGATAGTATGTTGGCTAGCTGAGAATGGAAGGGAATCAAATACTTTTCCCCTTAGCCTTTCCTTTCCTGTGGTTTCTCCCAGCCATGTGCATTCCTGTTTTGAGAAGCAGGTTTTAATGTTGCAGTTGTTTGATGTGGACAGCTGGCTGAGGGTAAGAGAAGCACCAGGACTGAGCAAGAAGAGCCATTCAGAGAGCAGAGTGTGAGCCTGCAGTTCTGCCTCGGGGGGGAAGCAAAAGTTCTGTGCTCTCCCTCTGTCTAGCACAGATCACTTTGTGTAAGGCAAATTTACTTGCTCAAGATTTACTTGCTCTTTACTTTTAAAACTGGGGCAGAACCAAAGTTCCTTGTTCATCTGTGCTGAAAGGTGGAGGAAGATCCTGTTGATGGCTGCTCCTTGCCTTGTGTTCTTCTCAGCACAGGTGTTGACTGTAAGGGCAGGGGGGGAGCTTGTTCCTTCTGCCTTCCAATGTTTGCCTCAATGTGGGCTCCTTATATTTAGACAAAAGAGTTATGATAAAACAGAACAGGAGTTAAAGCCAAACTTTGGATGAGACTGTAAAGGTCCAAGGCCTCATGTTGCATGTAAAAATGACAAAGAATGAGAATGATTTACAAAATGAAGTAAATATATAAATGAAAGGCTTTATAAATTACTGCTCTTTTCATGTTTATAATGTCTCAAATGCAAAGGTGTGAAGCCAGGCCTCAGTGCAATAATAAATATACTCATAAATGACTGGAATCCAGAACGCTACCAAAGGAATTGTAGTTTTCAACCTGTATGCCCAACTCATGTGCTTGCCTTTTCCAGTGTTCTTGTTTCCATTAGAAGAAGAGTTGGTCTGGGCTGGGAGGTGCCACATTCTAATCTGAATGATTTTCACGTGGAATTACAATTTCTGTGGTTCTGCTAATACATTTGGAAATGGATTGCTGCTTCCTCCAGGGTGTATCTACGTGGTAGATGTCACAGGGCAGAGATGTGTTTTTTTGCCCAGGTCACTGAAGCCTTCGCGCAGGAAGCATTGCCTCAATACCTTTAGATTTCCCTGAGATTGTGCAGTAAATCTGTTTTGGAACAACAAATTGAACTCCAGTCCCTTGGGCACCATGTTCCATCTCTACCCTTTCCCTCCATCTCAGTTTCTTTCTTTCTGATGGGGTGAGTGTATAAAACAGATTATCAATAGAATTACACAAACTCAAAGGAATTATACCAATGTTTCTCCAAAAGCCACTGCTCTGTGGACAGAAATAATAAGCAAGTAATGACAGAAGTTAATACTGCTTGTAATTGTCTCTCTTTATTTCTTGTTTTTTTGCAAGGAGAATTGAAGAGTCCTTGGAGCAATGTGTAGCCAGCAAGACATACTTAGAGACCTCTGGGCTGCATGATTTTCTTGAGTTTATTGACATTTGGATGTGAATAAAGAAATGGACAAGGCTATTCTCAACTGTTTTTCTATGCCTGTTTTTTACTTCACACCTAGTTTTCTTCAGTGGGCCTAAGTATTTCCACCACATTTTCTAGGTTATTCTGGAGATAGGGATGGTGGGCCTCTCTCACAACTGAGTTGTCAACTGACAAGTGTTAGAATTTTACATTATAAACTCGATTAATTTAATTCCTAGTATTTATTTTTGAAGTTCTTGCTTTTGAAGGTGGTTTGACATCTGTCTATTCTTCTTGTGGTCTTCTGTCTTTTGCGTCAGCCATCAGGGCTGAAACAATACTGGACTTGAAGTGTTCTACTTTGATTTTTACATTGCAAACTTTTGTTGACTGAATCTAGTTTAAGTCAGCAAATGTATCTGCCACCTTGCCAGCTTCTGATGTTACCTCCTTTGAACAGCCCTTTTGGTTTGCACTGCACTACCAACTATGTCTTATTTTCCAGTTATTGTCTTAGAAGAGTCTGGCTGGTGGAATTGCTATTGCCAAATGAGAAGTTGTTGGAAGGAATTTACATAAAAATAGTAGATCTGTGAAGGGACTTTTGAACTATACTATGAATGATGAAGATTTGCTGCCCTGACCAAAGAGACACACATTAGTTTGGGTACTCACGATTTTCTGTATCAAAATTCAGCCAAAAATTTATTGACCTAGAAATCAAATCTGAGGCAGATGAAGAGAACTTCTGAAGTATGCAATCTAAGTGTGTTGTCAGAGCTGGAGTAGGTCATTAAAAATTGTGGATGAAGAATCAAAGTTAAAGCTAATCAATAGATTTTTAATAGCTTTCTGAATTATGAATGTGATTTTTACCATATTAAAAAAAATGTACTGTGAAAGCTTTCCCACTTAAGATAAAAACACTTAGGACAATTTGTTATCATCTTGGTTGGCCTGACATCATTCAAGCTATTTCTCCACTGAGTGGGCAGAGCAAGCATGGTCAGCTCTCCATGGCCAGCAGGCTGTGGTGGAAGTTGTTGTGCTTTGAGTATGTTCTTGGTCTTTGGCCAGATTCTTACTTGTGGATGCAGTTGGAGGATGAGGGAGCTGGCTGTCCTCTCCAAGGGTTGTGAAGGAGAGTGGTTGGAGGCTGTAAAAAATGCTATAAAACAACAAAAAGTTAGGATTATCTTAATCTTTCCCGATTATTGCATAATTATTATTGCAGAACTTTCTTCACTTCAGCAGATGAACCTGCCATTGTAGAAGAACTCTTTACACATCTAGAATTTTGATAAATATTTCTGCAGTGCTTGAGGCAGATGTGCCAAAAAAGTCTTCTTCGGGTTGGCAGCATGGCACAATTTGGTTGTGGAAATTCAGAGACATAAACCCCCTCCCAGTGTCATCATGGCATTTGTAGTTTGTGAGCTAGAATGTGTACCTAGACAGGAAAAACACAATATCAACAGCACAGCTGAAGTGGATAATGAACACATGATTAACTTAGGCTGCAGTGCAGAGTCAGATGTACTGACAGGACTGAGAAGACTGAGGATCACTACTCCATGATGAACAATCAATGTGATCTGATTGAACCCACTGAAGCAAAGGAAGGAACATCAGTTTCAGTAGCACATCATGATGTCCTAGTTTGACTCCATTAGTATGATCCTCTTCCAATTTTAAAGGCAAAAGATCGGCTGTCCAAAAATTTTGCAGTGTTGTCACTAAAATGGAAAGGGTTAGGGTTAGGTTATTAGAAGAAAATACATAGAAATTAGCTTTTCAAGCCATCTCTGGTTGTTTGTTTTCTAAACAAGCTGTAAGCCTTACATGGCTGGGGCTACCAAGGCAAACACAAGTGCAGTGGACTTGTTTCTTCTTGTGATGAGCCAGGCAGGGTTTGCTCTACAACACTTCAGTCTTTCCTGTGCTCTGTGCTAACCCTCCCAAACTGTTTTTGAGCAGCCTGCTGGCTGGCTGGCTGCTTGCCCAGGCTCTGTTTCTTCTCGAAACGCTTGGGACACCAGCAGTGCTTTTTCGACTCATGCCCAATGCTGCAGTGTGTGTAGCCCTGGGCTCACCTGGGTGGGTTTATGGTGATACATTTCCCTTTCCTAACCAGTCATGGATCCTCAGGAACTGGCTGGTGCGTTGTCTGCTGTCAATACAAGTGCACATCTGCCAGTTCTCTCAAGATGTCGTTAGGTATTATTTATATTAGGAGTATTTTATTTCCTGTTTTAAATCAGAGAACAAAATTTTTTTCCTCAGTTTTTATTTTATAGGGATGTATTCATATAATCTAATTTCTAAAGTGTAAATGTAGAATCTCATGTTCAGATCCAGTCAATGGTATTTCCTGAGAGCAATTCCAGCTACTCATGTGAAATGCCTGCCTTTCTCCCCTTCCTCCTGCCACCTTCCCCGCCTTTTTAAAGGCATTTAGACACCTTGTGAAGTCTAGCCTTGCTTAGTATAGTTCTTCTTCACTTTGAGCATGAGTTTGATCTCTTTGAAGTAAGTGAATTTTAAAGTTATATTGTTATATACTGTTCTGACAGAGGTGTTTTCTTGGAACTGCCTACAGAGTTGAAGGTGAATCTAACTCACCTTAGGTGGAACATGTAATTTACCTGGATAAGAGGGTGAAGGAGCTGCTCACAATGAA